CTTTAAATAGGTTACAAACCCTGAAAATTAGGGTTTTCTCACCCAGCTCCTACTCGTCGAGTCGGGGTCCTCCGACTCATCGAGTAGACTCTAAAATCCCGCGACCATTACACTCTCTACTCGGCGAGTTGGTGCTCCCAACTCGTCGAGTTGCCCAATCGAAATGAATGAAATTAATTAAATAATATACTTGAGACTCGAGATGTTACATCAGTCGCTTGAACCATTCTTCTGTCGTTATTTCAATTGAAAGTTGAAACTTTTTTTTTTATTGTCATTAATTCAAGCTCATCTCAAGGTAAATTATTTTTGAGTAAATTACAAATTTAGTTATATGTTTTTCTATAAGACATATAATGACTGAATTGCTTTTGTCTTTTTTTAAAAAAAATCATTTGTGTTTTAAATATATTTAACGTTTGAGAAAATTGCAAATATAACGTTAGGCATTTTTTATGGTTTTGATATAAAAAAAAGAGAAATTAAATATCCTGTACATTTTCTTCCTACTTATCTTCCAACAATTCCAAGTTCCACGGTTGGAAGGTTGGTCCATTACTAATGAGGAAAAAAAATATAAGTTACAAAAATTCTAGGTTCCACGAATTGAAGTTTTGGCTTCTACGTGTGTAATTATGCCCATAGTTTGTAATCGAAAGAGGAATGTTGAGATGGAGGAATAGTATTTAGACCGGTACATGGAATGTCCGCCTGGTTTTGTATAAAAGTATCATTGAGAACTTTGGTAAAGGTGGAGGGAGCGACCTACTCTTAACCCATTCAACTTAGTGACACGTAACAACGTTTATCTCTGTTTTGTTTTTATTATTTTCAACCAACAACACATGAAAATAATACATTTTCTAATCCACTCAAACTTTTTTTATTTTTAAATAAATACAAACTAATTTACAAAATATTCAAAATATACAAAATTAATTCACAAACAAATTAAAAACATACAAACATATTTTAGTACAAGAGTTTATGCATGATGTACAAGTCACCTTTACTTGAGAGAGAGAGAGAGAGAGAGAGAGAGAGAGAGAGAGGGGCATGAATGCGTTCCTCAATCTACATGTAAGCCAAAAACCTCAACCCGCTGCGAGTTGAAGTAATGTTCTGTTAAGATTTATGGAGTCTTGAACAAATTGACAAGTTCCTAAAAGTTCAAGGGCCATAAATGAAACTTGGAAATATTAAACAATTGAATATGAAATGGACGATGCAATTATGGAGCACACCTTTTGAATTCATTTGTTGGACTGTCAAAGTTTTGGAGCGCAAATAATTGGACGGTGGAAAAAATTGTCAAACACATGCATGAGAATTATTTTTTCAAACTATGCGGCAATCTTGTGCATATTGCGGCTCACAAATATACCTATATATATGCATGTATGTTTTGCATATTTTGTGTGCAAAAACTTGAGAGAACATCAAGTGTAGAGTGTCAAGCCAATTGTAATCTTGTGAGTTTTAATAAAATTCTCTAGTTGCAGCCCGTGGATGTAGGATTTACACCGAATCCGAACCACGTAAAATCCTTGTGTTCTTTATTGCTTTATTTTCTCGTTTCGTTTGTGAGTGTGTGATAGTGTTTACGATGCGTGTACCCTGTCTCAATTCCTAACAATTGGTATCAGAGCCTGGTTAGCGAGGTTTTGGAGGGTACGATCGTTTTTTCTGTCACACACGAGTGTACCTAATTTTTTCTTTGTTTGCCGTAATGGCTGAAGACAAGGTTATAATCGAAAGGTTCAATGGTTCTGATTTTAGCTGGTGGAAAATGCAATTAGAAGCATTGCTATGTCAGAAAGACTTGGACGTGGTACTCGGAGACAAACCGGAGAAAATGGAAAAAGTTGCTGAAGATGCGTGGAACTCAAAGGACAAGAAAGCCAAGGCGGTTATTACATTGTCGTTGACGAAGAGCGTTGCTTTCAACATCATGAATGAAACCACGGCGCGTGGTATGATGGAGGCTCTGTCAAATATGTATGAGAAACCATCGGCGGCTAACAAGGTGTTCTTGATGAAGGAGTTGTTCACTACAAGGATGAATGAGGAAGGCTCAGTTACGGTTCACATTAACAATCTAAATTCAATTATGTCCAGATTATCATCTGTGGGAATTAAATTTGATAATGAGACTCAAGCTTCGCTGCTACTAGCTTCTCTACCTGATAGCTGGTCCGGAACAGTTACTGCTGTTACAAGTTCCGTGGGGACCAGTGGTATGACTTTTGAAGGGGTTAGAGATTTGGTTCTAGGCGAGGATATCAGACGCAAGAATCAAGGTGGATCTTCCTCTTCTGATTTATTAAATGTCGGAAGAGGTAGAGGGAATAGCAGGAATAGTGGGAGCAGTGGGAGTCGGGGAAAAAGTTCTTCTAGAACTTTGAAGAATGTGAAATGTTGGAACTGTCAAGAAGTGGGACATGTTAAGAGTCAATGTCCAAAGAAAGAATTGAACATTGCTGATGCTGAGAATTTTTCTGGGGATGATGCATTGTTACTCAGTATGGAAAGTTCTGTGGACTCTTGGGTCATGGATTCGGGGGCTTCGTTTCACGCCATGGACAACGGGGAAACGATGGTGAATCTAAAAGAATGAGATTTTGGGAAGGTACGATTGGCAAATGACGAGATGCTTCAAGTAACGGGCATGGGAGATATTGATCTAGTTACTTCATTAGGAACTACATGGAGCCTGAAGAATGTCAGGGTTATTCCGGAGCTGAAGAAAAACTTGATTTCTGTTGGTCAGCTGGATAAACAAGGACTGGAAGTAAGGTTTGGTGGTGGTAAATGGATGGTGGTCAATGGTAATTCGGTGATTGCTCAAGGTTTGAAGCGTGGGTCATTGTATATGGTTGAGGTACCTGCTGAGGGAAGTATGACCATCCCGATTAAGCAAAACAAAATCTGGTTCGCTAAATCTACTGCTAAGAGAGTTCATTTTGCAAACATGAATTCTGGAGCCAAGGGGATGTTAGCTGAACGAGTCGGAAATTCTAAACCATTCAGGGGATTCTGTGACAGTGGGAGCACGGGGTGTGTCCCGGGTACAGTTACAAAGAGCCGTTGGGTTTTGAAGACTAAGACTGGAAAATTCTCTCTTGTTGGAAGTTTGCAAAGTTTGGAGAGTGTTAGTGGTCCTCGGTGTATCTCTGGATCTGGTGGAGTGTCCAAACCGGTTGAGACAGAGGATGAGTCGGTGGTGGGATTAGCCACGACTGAGTTGGAGCTAGTGGGAGCTTCAACTGGCCCTTCTAGTACTTGAAGATGAGGGGCGGCTGCAATTAGAGAAATCAGACTAAGTTTTAGCTTGTTTTTTGAAACTGGAAGCTTGAAGGACTTGGTTGTTTTTTAAGATTACTGGAGTAATTGAGAGTTGAATGGCGGAGAAAGACTAATTTGTTCAAGTCTCCAAGTGGGAGATTGTTAAGATTTATGGAGTCTTGAACAAATTGACAAGTTCCTAAAAGTTCAAGGGTCATAAATGAAACTTGGAAATATTAAACAATTGAATATGAAATGGACGATCCAATTATGGAGCACACCTTTTGAATTCATTTGTTGGACTGTCAAAGTTTTGGACAGCAAATAATTGGACGGTAGAAAAAATTGTCAAACACATGCATGAGAATTATTTTTTCAAACTATTCGGCAATCTTGTGCATATTGCGGCTCACAAATATACCTATATATATGCATGTATGTTTTGCATATTTTGTGTGCAAAAACTTGAGAGAACATCAAGTGTAGAGTGTCAAGCCAATTGTAATCTTGTGAGTTTTAATAAAATTCTCTAGTTGCAGCCCGTGGACGTAGGATTTACACCGAATCCGAACCACGTAAAATCTTTGTGTTCTTTATTGCTTTATTTTCTCGTTTTGTTTGTGAGTGTGTGATAGTGTTTCCGCTGCGTGTACCCTGTCTCAATTCCTAACATGTTCGCGGCAATACCGCCGTCCCATAACCACCAACCCGCTGCCACTCCGTCCGCCCTAAGGAGCTTTGGGATGGAGGAGTAAGATAATTAAGTTTTCTAAGGTACTCTTGAGGATGGCTTAATGATTGCAGTAAACTGTCTTTAGGGTCTTGCACTCGTTAAGAAATCATTCCTAGCCGAAAATGAATCTATTAGAAACATTCACAATGTGAATTTAGCTAGAATGGAGCATTTTGTGCTAGGAAATCATGACTTGTCGTGTATGAATTAATGAGTAAGAGATCTTCTATGGATCTACCATGTCGACCTCACATACTTGAAAGGGTACACAGAAAGAACATTATTCTTGATATAGCAAACGTTTAGCATATATACTTGAACATTATAGACAAAAAAATCATCCACCTTGATATTAAACCTCAAAACATATCCTAGACAATGACCACCAATGTCGGAGTATGTCATGTTGTCTAAGCTCATCGACATACATCAGACTGAAATGAATAGGGGATAAACTCCCTCTTGTCTTCATAGACTATTTTAACAATACAAATTATTTTATACATCTAAAACAATATAATATTGTAAATATTCTAATATGATAAAAATAATATTCGAGTTTAAAAGCAAGTGTTTTTAGGAAATTATCGAGCTAAAGCTTATAAAATTATCGGTACGGCTCAAATTGTAGATGAATACAAATTATTGAAACTATTAAACGAGTATCGAACTGCATGGAGCTCGAACAACAAGTTAATATTTGAGCTCATGCACAAACATGACTACTAAAAGTTAATGGAGCTTGAGCCAAATACTAGATAAACGAGCCAAGCCCTAGCTCAAGCATGATTATCAAATTTTAATCTGACCTACAACCTGTTTGATGAATAACCCTAGACACAACATAAAGAGATGGATATCTCTTCTATTCATTGGGGAAGGAAATGCGTTCATAAGTTTCACTTTAATTGTTCTTGAAAAAGACGAAGACAAAAGCATTATAAGGATCCATAGAATTGATCAACAAGAACCTTATTCTAACTCATCTTGGCCCTGATAGAACGGAAGGCAACATTGGTTTCGAGATCTTCTCATGTTCTATTGTTGTTTTCTGCACTCTTGGATCCAAGAAATTGTAATCCAAGTTCGATTCAACATTCATTACTCCCTCTAACACCTTCACCACAGATGACATTGAAGGTCTTCTCGTAAAATCAGTCTGCAAACACCATGAAGCCACTTTCATCATCTCTGTAACTTCTATACCATGTGATTGCATATCTTCACTACACCTGTCAACAATACTTAGCAATGTCCCTTGTTCCCAACAATTCTGAAAGACACGCAATAAGTGCCAACTTTCTTCCGGCTGAGATCTATCGAGATTCTTCCTTCCACATAAGATCTCCAAAAGAACGATCCCGAAGCTATATACATCCACCTTTTCGGTGATAATTGAGCTCAACCATTCTGGAGTCATATAACCGAAGGTTCCTCTCATTGTAGTCATCACATGGCGGCTTTGATTTCTATCAATGAGCTTAGACAGCCCGAAATCAGAAATTTTGGCCATTGAAATCTTCATCCAGAAGTATGTTTTGAGGTTTAAATGTCGAGGTGGATAATTTTTTGGCTACAGTCTTCATGGAGATATGCTAAACCCTTAGCTATATCAAGAATAATTTTCTTTCTGCATTCCCATCCGAGTATGTGCTTTTGGTCTCCAAAGTAGATCCAATGGTCTAGTGATCCATTACTCATGAATTCATAGACGAGAAATTGCTCACAAAATCCTCTAAGTCGAACTAGATTCACATGGTGAATGCTACCGATGGATTCAACCTCAGCCATGAATGATTTTTTAACCTGCACAAGACTCTGGAGACATTGCACCTTCTCTGACCGGATTGTCTCGGTTGGCTGACCATATGACCGTTGGATCATATTGATTGAGAAGAATGGCAAAGAGGTAAGATGTGCAAGTTCCATTACAGAAGAAGCCACAAGCGAATCTGTAACTGCTAGATCTGTAACTGTCAAGAAGAATGACTCTGATCCTTGTGCCATCTGAGGAATTGGTGGAAGGGTTAGAAGATTCATGGTTGATCCATGTGGTCGAAAGATATACAGAAGAGTAATCAAGTTGAGCAGGGATGGATGAGAAGATGAGAAAGAAGCCAAAGAAAAAGCTACAGACCCAAGCTGCCCTCACCGCTAATTAATTAACCCACAACAACCTATCAAAATTTAACATATGAAATAATTATCTAAGCTAAACATATGAGGAGGTTCCAAAAGCTCAAGTACAGGACCGGCCCTGCTCAAGTACATGCTACAATTGACTCATTTCGGGCCAAGTCTCCCTCTCATTAAATGGTGGAAAAATCATGTCCTATATTGTATTCATCATTGTTTCCAAGTCACTACACATTTTCTATATTTAAACTTTTCGAGTAATTTACAATCTGGTCCATTTGTTTGGAATTGGGTCCAAAAAAGAATTTTGTTTGTTTCATCCCCCGGTTTCATTTTTTAATGTAAAATAATTATTTTGCCTCTCAGCTTAATTTTTCTTTTATTTCTCTATGATTTATAGTAATACAATATTAGACTAGTAATCCAGTATCAACTACAATTTCTACCATCTCCTCATCCTCATAGAAATTTGGCTATCCTTCTATTCTATATATATATATATATATATATATATATATATATATATATATATATATATATATATATATATATATATATATATATAGACGGTTTTAAGGGGTTCCCGGTTGGCACCGGCAACCCCTAACTTTCAGGCCGCAGTGGAAAAAATTTCGATTTTTTCGATTTTTTTATTTATTTTTCATGTATCGGCAACACCTGCAATGTATTCCTGCGTCTGTCCCTATATATATATATATATATATATATATATATATATATATATATATATATATAACCAAATGTAATCTTATACTTGTCTTTAAACCATTAAAAATCAATGAAAAACAAATAATACATATATAATGGCATAAATTATCTAGGTTTTAATATATAATCTAAATTAAAGACATAATTATAACGATAATGAAAACTTACATGTAAAAAAAATGATATTTTTCATCGCTAGAAGAAGACATTTTCAGTTGGATTGGTAGTCCGAAATTACTGAGTTCGAAATGGTGTCTGTAGGTAATATGATATTAGTAAATTTGAAATGAACTTTAAAATGATATTTATAATATTTATAGGGTGTTTATAATATCAGGTCAGATCGTATACCCATTACCGTTTTCAACATACGGATCCGGAATGACCCATTTTCAGACTTTGTCGTCATTCTTCAATAACATATATATATATATATATATATATATATATATATATATATATTGTTTTTAAAATAACATGGTTAGATTATGGTTAGACTACTAATTTCTCTTCTTTTTATTGTTATTTTGTTAATAAAAAAAGTTAAAATTTAAAATTATTATTTTTATTAAAAATTGAAACAATACAACATAGTTTGAAAATGGAAAATAATGTTGCCCAATCCGAACCCCCTTTTTAATACTGAATAGTGAATAGTGATTGAAAAAAAAAACAAAAGTGAAATGGATGAATACTGAATAGTGATGGACAAAAAACAAAAAGCACAAGTGGCATGAAAAGTGGCATGGGTGAATACTAAATAGTGATGGACAAAAAGCGAAAAGTAGAATGGAGTATGCAGTGTCCGTAAAATAGCAAAGGTGGCATGGATAAATACTGAATAGTGTCTGTAAAATAGCAAAAGTGACGTGGGTAAATACTAAATAGTGATGGACAAAAAGCAAAAAGTGGAATGAAGTATGGAGTATGGATTTACAGCAAAAGTGACGTGGGTAAATACTAAATAGTGATGGACAAAAAGCAAAAAGTGGAATGAAGTATGGAGTATGGAGTGTCTGTAAAATAGCAAAAGTGGCATGGGTGAATACCGAATATTGATGGATAAAAAGCAAAAAGTGGTATGGAGTGTCTGTAAAATAACACCCGTTTTTAACCTAACCATCTTCAAGCTCGGTTTATCAAAAGCGATTCCTTAACGAATCTCATGACATAAGAAGAATCAGAAGGTTATTGAAATCCGCTGTGAGTCTCTTTCTCTCGTTCCTTTTCTTAACTTTTTTGTTTCGCGTATTTGCAGTTTTGGACTGAAGATGGTATCTTTGGTAGCAGACAGTATTTCTATAGTTTTGAAATTTCGCAACGTATCATTCGCCTGTGGATTCTTCTGTAATGGAACCTGCACCTCATACCAACAGTCAATCTGATATCATGCCACCTGCTATAGGGCTCCCTCAAGTCATTTGGTCAACAAACCAAGATTATCCGGTTGGCCCCACTGCACTGTTGAATCTCACCGCAATCGGATAATTGGTTCTACAAGATGTACATGGAAAGCTCAACTTCGGCCACAAAAGCTACTGGAAAACAAGCATGTCAAAGCAACTCTAGTTTAGTATTGTTCCAATTCTTCAAAGTGGGGAATGTCAGATAACTTCAGAGCTACTGGAATGATGATTGTTGATCCAAATTCATCAGACTGCTCTGCTTTTATAATGTAAGTTCATGTTCATCTCCTATGTCTGCATCACAAACTTCTAGTCCATTTCCAAGGAAAAAAATCGAGCTATAACTTGAAACAATTCCAAGTTCCACGATTGGAAGTTTGGTCCATTACTAAGGGGAAAAAATCAACTAATCAAGTTACAACAATTCTAGGTTCCGTGATTGGAAGTTTTGGGCTTCTGCTTGTTGTAATTGTAGGTTTTATTATATCCCTAGTTCGCAAGCAAAAGAGTTAGGATAATATTTAAATCAGGTATGTGGAATGTCCACTTGGTTTTTCGTATGAAAAGTTGAAATTTGACATAGAGAATTTTAGTAAAAAACTTTGGAAGGGATGAGTAAGATAAGTTTACCAAGGGACTCTTAGGATGGCTCAAACATTCACCAATCACCATGTAAATTTAGTTAAGCTTAGAGGTTTTTGTGGTTGGAAATCACGGTTTGTTGTGTATGAAATCATAAGTAACAAATGATTAGATTGGTGTATCTACCATAGAGATCGAGACCACATACTTGAAAGGGAATATAGAAAGAAAATTATTCTTTATATAGCTAAAGGTTTAGCATGTATATATGAAGATTGTGGGCAAAAATCACCCCCTTACTGCTAACCTCAAAACATACTCCTAGACAACCCAAAATTTGATACTTTGGCATTGAAATCTTCATCTAGGAGTGTGTTTTGAGGTTTAATATCGAGGTGGATGATTTTTTGCCTACAGTCTTCATGAAGATATGTTAAACCTTTAGCTATATCAAGAATAATTTTCTTTCTATATTTCCATTCGAGAACCTGCTTCCGGTCTCCATAGTAGACCCACTGGTCTAATGATCCGTTACTCATGAATTCATACACGAGAAGTCATTGTGATCTCCGAGCACAGAATCCTCTAAGCTGAACTAGATTCACGTCGTGAATGCTGCCAATGGACTCAACCTCAACATGCACAAGACCTTGAAGACATTTTACTGGAATCTTTGAGCCATCTTTGAGAGTCCCTTTGAAAACTGATCCAAATCCCCCCTCCCCAAGCTTTTTATTGAAATTTTCTGTGGCTGTTTTTAGTTCTTATAGGAAAACCGAGTGGGCATTCCTGAAACTTGATCTAGATACTCTTCTTCACTTTCACTATTCATACTTTTCTTTTGAACTATGAATTTAGTAAAAACCTACGACCACAATAACAAGTATAAGACTTCTAATTGTGGAACCGAGAATCTCTTTGTTGATCGACCATGAGATCGGGGTATAGACGAAGGAGTTGAACTTACATTATGTACTTTTATAAAAACTGAAATATTGTGTGGAACTGGAAGTATGCCTGCATCAAGACTCGTCATTGTAAAAAGCTCAGAAGGTAAATAGCAATCCCCTCTTGTAGAATTTGAACAAGAGTCAAATAGGAATGCTGGAGGTATATCGATCACACTATATACAAACTTTTTGAGTAAAGTACAAATCTGGTCCATGTGGTATACCATTTGTTATGAACTAGTGAACCCTCCTGTGATGCTGCAGAAATTGTGTATTTACAGTAGGCATGAAATAATATGCAGTAGAATTATATTTAGTTATAAAGAGTTAATTAAGAACTTCAAAAAAGATTTAAGGTCATGAGAAGAAAATTAATCTATAACATCAGTAACTAAAGTGCCTGTATGCACAATCCAAGCAAGTGAGAAATCTGTTTTATTTTAGGGGTAACATATTCATATAATTTTTTTAACATAATATGTTAACTGTTGGTTGAAAAAAAAAATGGTATTTGATTTTACCTGCATGTTGTAAACTTTAGTGAATTGGTAAATTGATTTAAAACTTTAAACTACTTTCATGTGTCTACTTGATCCATTTTTATATTAGAGTTTAGAATTGTTTCGTTATCTACTTGTTATATTACATAATTGGAAAAGGTTATCAGTAAGATGGGTTGTTTTAAAAAAAAACTTAAATATATGATTAAATTTACAATCTTTGTGTTAGAAAAGCAAGTATTATTGGGTTTTTTTCAATGTTTTAAAAACAGGTTCAAAGCGGCTGGTTGAACAGGTTTGGACCGGGAACCGGTAAAGGGAGCGGTTCAACTAATACCAGTTTTATGCCTATTTTTGGATCGGAACTAACTGGTTGGTTTTTACAAAAAAAATCGGTTGAACCAGATAAATTGAATAAAAAATTAAAAACAGATGGAAATGAAACATCTTGCATAACAAACTTTGGTGGTTGTTTCACATTTATATAAATTTCTCTTAACATAAAAACATACAGTGAATGTTATGAAGTTTTTTGATGTGTGTGTATTTATCTATAACTATATTTTGTGTCGGTGTTGTATTTTATTTTCTTTTTGATGTAAACCTGATATATATATATATATATATATATATATATATATATATATATATATATATATATATATATATAATCTCTTTAGAGTGATTTACAACTTGTTTTTATGTGTATTTTTAATGTTTGAACTTCTGTGTATACA